CATTTATGCTGACTTGAACCTGACTGAATCAACCAGGCCCCGACCACAGAATCTCACTGATGTCCAAGGTAGGTCAATGGGTCTGCTCTGAGCTTTCTTTGTATTCTTCAGCCTCCCTACCACATATTTTGAAAGAGTGCTGTGGAGCACCAAAGCCCCAAAGAGGCTGAAAGAAATATGGGGGCAGAACTGTGAAAAATGTGCAGGTGGGGTGTCCACATACTTTTTTTACCAAAATAAAGGGGACTATCATAAGGTCTACTTTTCATTTATTAAGGTGCATACGTGAGGGGGAGTTTCTTGTGTGATAGTAGGAGCAGCTGGTATCAATTTAGGAGTCTATTCCACAGCTGATTTTCAATTGGTCCTGAACCAGGAATGTTCTCATGCAGCTGGCACTGATTCCTGCAGCAAACTGATAAGGAGATTGAGTGCCTGATATTGTTGTTCTTTGAAGCAGTCTTGTGCGTAGCCTGTTTCAGCTTGCTGAGCATAGTAGGCATTGTTTTGGGGTTTTTTTTCCTCCTGGCTTTGCCTGTAAAAACTACGTGTTTAATAAATCAACCAGAAAATGTCTTATAGACAGATTTAGTTTGATTTAGTACAAATGACTTTGCAAAATTCTAACCTAAAATTTATCTTTCTTTAATGCACTAAGAATTACTACATAAGTGTTTGCACTGGTTTTTCTACATCTGCATAAAATTGCATCCTAAAATAACAGACTTCATACATTTTCTATTTAATTTTCTTTTTTCCTCCCTTTCTTTTTAATCTTACTATCTCTTTGACAGAAATAGTAGTTTCTATTTCTTTCCATCCTGTGCTTGTCTTTTGCGTGAAGTGTGATGCCTTAGCATTTATTTTCAGATGGCTGGGGTTTCTAATGCCCCAAGAAACAGTGTTTTTATCACCTCTTTCAACAGATTGCTTCACGGCTAAATACACAGGCACCCACAATAGATGCCACCTGATTAAAAGTTCCATTTTCCTTATCATTTACTCCCCATACTCCTCCTTATGGCTTTTATATAGTTTTTATAACATTTTAATGTTTCTTTGATCTTGCCTTTCTGGAAAACCTGTATCAACTCTTTGCTTCTGTGTGTTCACTTAATTTGTACACAGTATTTCCCAATGATTGCACATATCCTACAGAAAAGAGCTCAAACATTTTTTCTTTTCATCTGTCTTCTTTTCTTTTTCCTTCAGTTTGCTATTTTCTCTTCAATAGTGGATTACCTGGATCAAATGCAGTGTCCACAAAGGAATGAAATTAATTCCATAAGAAGAATGCACTTAAATTCACAGAAGATATTAACTCTGTATGGTGATTGATAGAAACAAAGGGGCTCAGTGCTGCATATCAGGATGATTTTGAATGTTTTACAAAATTGCAATATTTTATTTCTTACTTTCTACACCCTTTTAATGTGTCCCTACCCTTCCTTCCTTCCTTACACGCTTTCTTCCATACTCATTTTTATTTATTATCTGCAGATTTTAGGATAGTTTTCACTGTTCTCAATGTCTGATCGTTAACTTGTAACCCCTTCAAACTTAGCATGATCTGCAGTTTTCAGGTTTGCTTCAATATTGTAGACGTTCTCACGACTCACACATGGATGTGAATTGAGTAAGACAATCAGACAACCTCAGACATTTTTCTCCACTTCTGCTTAGATTTAAAATGCATGTGCATGCACCCATGTCTCCTCTGCTATTGTCTGCACTGAAGACAAACCCAATCTTGCTTATAGCAAGTCCTCTACAGTGTGAATGCAATGGACAAAAATATTATTTGGGAATAAGCACGGTCACATAAATAAGCTGCTGTCATGTGTTTAGCATTTCTCATCATTTCAGTAACTTTTGTTCCATTTAAGTTGTTTCTCAACTTTCTTTGTTCTCTGTTCTTTTTGCCTGGTTTTAGGTTCTGTGTATGTGGAAGTGAAAATTCAATCCCTAGACACAAATGCTGCAGCTAGTTACACACTGTCGGGTGAGTTTTTAGCTGTCTGCTAGAATTATATGAATTTAGACAATGAGAGGAGAGGAGCCCATTCCTTATTTTGTAAAAATCTGTTGGAAACACATGCACTCGAAAACACATATTTTGAAGCCTTTTCCTTCTCAAATTCTTTTCTGTCTAATTGGGTTTTTTTATATATAATCTTTGATCTCCCAGGATTTGTGAAACTTCCTGGGAGGTCTACAGCTTCCTTCCATTTGAGGTCTACAGCTTTGGAAAGTTATCGATCTGTTTCTAATAGCTGTGTCAACTTCCCTTTAACTATTCCCAGATCATTCTTAATAAGTGCCTTGTATTGGCCACATGTTGCTAGGATGCTGTCCTTCAATAATATATAATCTGCCTGTATGGATTTAATTATGTCTTAGCAGCCCTTTTTAGCTTCTTTTTAATAAGCTTCCTGTAGTTCCCCTCTTTTACCCATTAGCACTCTATTTTTCCTTAAGTAGTCTAGTACTATGATGACTCTCTTCCTTTTAACGACTTCCCCATATACATAGCATACTGGGATGCTCTTCAGTTACCCAATCACAGGTGTCCAGAGCCATCTGGGAGACATCAGGACATTCGGTCTGGCTTCAGTATGCAAATCTAGAAGGTCACAGGTTCTTGGAGGTCCAGCGTGTGGCAATGAAGGCATGTACTCCAAGTTCATGCAGAAGCGCAATCGGAATCGGAATCACTTTATTTAACACTTTACATCCTTTTATACTGATCGCAAAACAAAGCCACTGCTTTTCTCTTATCACCTAGTTAGTTGGCAAGCGCTGAGTCCAAGCCTTATATGGAAGCAAAGATCATCTTGCAAAGTCCATTGGTCATAGCATTGACCTCGCTTTTCTCACTTAGCTCTTCTTTTACTTCTCCCATGGCTTGCGGCCAACAAGACCAAGGATATCTCCAGTGTCCATCTCAGCTGCCACATCTGCAGATTCTGTACTTGTTCCCACAACTCCCCCTTCTTTACTAAGAATAAAAACAGAAGCTATTGATTTGCTTATAAGATGCTGCATGTACTGCAAGATACAAGGGATATAGATGAGAATACCTAAAAAAATGCTCACACAAAACAGAAACACCTTTACTAGCGACATTACCCATCCTGTCAGGCCCCATCCACTGAGCAGCCTGTCCGGATACCCCCAGCCCTCATTAATTTGCAGCTTTTGGACATTATCTTCTAGCTGCTGTATGCTCTTCTGGATGGATTTGGAATGATCAGAGAGGTTCATACAACACATACCTCCTTTTTTTTTTTTTTTTTTTAATGCACATTCCATACACTTAGTTTCTTATCTGCGGTTTTTCACTTCATATGGTTAGTAAGTTAACCTAAAACACACCGTTAGTACTTTAGTTTTTCACCTCATATAGTTAGTAAGTCTAACCTAAAACACAATGTTAGTACTTTAAGCTGGGTCCTCCTCAAGAATGTTCAGTTTTCTCAGGGCTGTTATCACATTCCAGCTACAGTTGGCTTCACAAAGGTCTCCTGTTAACCCTTTAGCATCCCTTTATACCTTTAAGATCACTTTTGAGAGAGCACATTTTTGTTAATATTTCACATAATCCACAACTTTTGTAAGACACAAAAGTAGCCTTTTAAGACAAAGTTTGCAGTACAAATTCCCAGTGTGAAATGAAATAAAAAGCTTCATACAATCCAGTTCAAATTAAAAAAAAAAAGATGTAAAATTTGAATGCAATCTGTTAACTAGACAGTGTCCTTAGTTCAAATGTTGTTTTTCTAAGGCCAAGCATCTTTTTACAAAATGGGTATTTCCAAGAGATTTTCAGTTACTTCAGCTTGCAGTAACTAAAATATTCTCAACTACAGAAGCTTTTATCTCTCTTATAAGCACTGCTCTGAGGATTTTAGACTGTTTAATGTGTTATTAATAGCGCAAAAATCTTATTCTACATTGAAAATGAAAACTACAGTACATTCATATAATGTCAGCTTTCCAGCTCTTCGGTAAGATGAGGATGAAAATGAAGAGCAGGCATCTTCAGAAGATGAAGGCTGAAACTTCTGCTAGGATTTCTGTTTCTAGCTTTTTTTTTGCTTTTTTTTTCTTTTGTCATTCAAGAAGCATATTAGAACATCTTAAAAATGTTAACAGCTGAAGTAAAAGAGTAACCTACTTATTTTTGTAAGAGAATAGAGTGCGCATATCGTATATAGTGAACGTAGAATGAAGTAGGGAGTCACCCTTCGAGTGTTAATATTGAAAACTGAGACCCAAACTACAAGTTATGATTCTAATGTACCAATACATGCTTTTTGAAAGCCTCTATTTTAAAAATCAGACAACTAGCTAACACGAAAGTCATTCTAATCAGACAAATTTTTGAAGTGTTCCCAAAAATTCTTACTGTAGAATTTATGAAAAAGAGATGCCTTGGAAAATAATGCATTATCATTTACATAGGTCTTTAGCCACAGAATCACAGGTAAAAGGAAAATGAAATTTTTTTTATACCAGATTGCTAAATTCTAGATTGTGTTTGAGGCACAGATATGTGTGTATAGATGTAAAAATTACTTTTTTCCTCAATTTTGAAACCTCAAACATACATTCTGTAGGTTTCATTATACCATTCAAATAGTCAATCCAGAAGAGAAAATAGGAGTATTCAAAATGGAACACTGGTAACAGATTCCCCTATGAAATTCAGATATGCCCTTCTGAATGCTGGTGATGGCACGTGCAAAACTTCCTACCTTGGGCAGAAGAAACAAGTTTTTCTGTTTTCCAGGACAAAGCAGTCTGTTCACTATAGTTATAACCCCAGGTGTTTAATCCCAACATTCACATTCTCTTGATGCTACATAAAATGAAGAAAAATATATCCCTTGTTTGGATTTTATCTCCACATGTATGTCCACAACCAGTCAAGTAATTTTCTGTACAACTGTACAATCCTGATCAGGTTGTCATTTGGTCCAGTTCCCCTGTTTGTCTCTCTCCTATTAACTCATTCATGCCAATGCCCTGCTAAATTGTCCATGGTTCTTGCCGTGGCAAGATCTCTGTAATCAGTGAGCCACATGGTATACTGCATTGATGATGACTTCATTCAAATTAGCAATTTCCAATCATGGGTAGTCATAGTGTACCCATTTCCTATGGCACGAAGCAAGTTAAATGTATATGACGATTGAATACCATAATCACGAACTGACTTGTGCAGCTCTTTTAGTGCTTCATATGGTAGAGGGTTCCAGGACGGAGCCCAATTGCCTTGATACTGTACGGGGAAAGCTTTTAACATGTCCACATCTCCTTTTTTGATTGCTTCCTTCCTGTACTGTTCCATTACCCCTTGATATTCTCCAGTTTCCTTTTCCCAACTATTTGATTCACTCCCCCTCTTGTGGAGTGGGAGTAATTCCCCACGCTCCTCTCTGGTGTTGTTGCCTGGAGGGTATAAATCAGGCTTTTTCTCCAGGTCTATGGGACTGGGATCGAGAGGGTCTTCCTCCGCCGGGTCACTGTCATTTGTGGTCCCCTGGATGGTTCCCAATCGGGCAGGCAGTGCTGTCAGGGCTGAAGGAGGGGAGGGGGGAAGGGCACGGGCTCCATTGAGGAGCTACTGCAGTGCTTCAGAAGTCTGTCGCCACATAGGCAAGTGTTTGATGGTATCTTTGTCCCCCCGGGTGGCAGCTTCCCACAGCCCTGAATTATAGATGGAGCTAGAGTCCACCCCGGAACAGTTGGAGCGGGCCCACGTAAACAATAATTTGAGGTCTGAAGGGCTATCAAGCTACCATGTAGCTTTAAAATCCACTGTATAACATTTAACACAGTTCTTTGTTCCTGAGAAATTTCGTTCCCCATTGTTCCCGACTGCTTACCTCAGTCCAGCAGTAGGTAATTCGTCGTGCACGATGTCGCTTCCTTTCGGTGACCTCCCTTACAGTTGACAGAAACCCACTTCAACACTCTCTTCAGTGTCTGAGGGTTCATAACAATGTTATGCTTCCACAGAAGTCCTTCCATAAATCCAAGCACCAATTTTTCATCTGAGGACATATTACTGCCCATCGTTTCCCACAGCTCACCTCGTCTCCAGAGATGATTGAAGCCGGCTCTTGCTTCCTTTCAGCAGCACTTAAGTTCCATGGGGCTTGCCACCAGACAGACCTTTGGAGGCTGAGTTTTCGCTCCTCACATGGGGCACCATTTGTGACAATGAAGGCACAGACTCCGAGTTCATGCACAAGCGTAAGTGGAATCAGAATCGGAATCGGAATCACTTTATTTAACACTTTACATCCTTTTATACTGATCACAAAACAAAGCCACTGCTTTTCTCTTACCACCTAGCTAGTCAGCAAGCACTGAGTCCAAGCCTTATATGGAAGCAAAGTTCATCTTGCAAAGTCCATTGGCCATATCATTGACCTTGCTTTTCTCACTTAGCTCTTATTTTACTTCTTCCATGGTTTGCGGCCAACAAGACCAAGGACATCTCCAGTGTCCATCTCAGCTGCTGCATCTGTGGATTCTGTACTTGTACCCACACTGTGTAACATCCTCCAGGTCTGATACCTGAGGCAGAAGCCACCCATTTTCAGGTACCCAACATCTGAATATTTTAGTCTGGGCTGGGACATTCCAAGTCTTCACAGCTTTTTTTTTTCAGACTTCTAGTTTATATGTAGAAGCAGGTGTGTCATAGCTGTAGTTTGCTTCTTAATGCTTTATTTAAATGACAGTCAGTTTTGCATTTTCTGCTTGACTGTTTCTACACTCTGACCTCTCCTTTTCCTGAGGACATAGTGGTTTTGACAACTTATATAATGGTGCTATCACCCTAAACTGCTCTTTAGCCCATGTCAGCTTCTCTTTCCTCATTTTAAAAGTTGCTTACAACCTTCAGCCCCTGCCAGCTTGTTCTTCTTAATTTTAAAAGTTACTTAAAACCTTCTAGATGTCATGTCCAGCAGCTTGATTCCCTTATAGTTAAGATGAAATCTGTTCCTCCAGAGTGTTTAGGCAATCTGCACCAGATGTGTCCCAAATTCCTGAAGAATCAGAAATTTGGATCCTTACTCTATCTTCTCAGCCAGGTTCTAAAATGCTGACTTTTCTCCCTCCAGTGCTGCATGGGGTACGGGGGCCGTTTCTGGAATTGCCACCTTAGCATTCCTGGTCACCAACTTCCTTCATACAAGCTTCCATTTTGCCACTAAAACTTCTCTCCGCCCTTCCCAGTCTTGTTGGTAACCAGATGGACTAGTGTATCAATAGACAGTTTGCACCTATCAAATAGATTTGTTGATTAGTGCAATCATCGTGTTTTCAGGGTGCAGCCATTTCCTGACCAATCCTCCTCATGCAGAAAACTTGACAGCATAGAGTTCTTTTTGTGTGCCGCCTTCTTTCAAACATTGGTTTAAAATCAGTTTAGTTTAATACTATACTAAGTATGACAGCTTTCTAGCATTTCAGTAATTCAAATAGTAATGTACAGGTAGGTATAAAAATGAAGTTACCAGACAGAACAGACCAGATATTGACTGCAGTTAGGATGAAGATTCAGGGTGGCTTCCTCATTTATCTAAAACTGTTTACTTTCAGGGGTAATAACAGCAAAAACCTCAATTTTTTTTTTTTTTCAGATCCTAGTTGTCACACAGACACCATAAACTTCAAAGATAGCATAAGGGGTAAGTAAATACTCCAGCAGATATGTGAAGCAGGAAAAGATGGAAAGCTCTCCTTTACCTTTTAATCCAGTGCCTGATGAGTGCAGACAGCCACTGAACTTACTATTTGTCCCCTCTTGGACCTGCTTGTGCTCTATAGCACCTGGCCAGTATCCACTGAGTTGGCAGACTAATGAATATCTCAAGGATCCCCTTGAAGTAAATCCTGAACAAAAGTCCATAAACAACAGGCAAAACAGAAAGAGGAGACAGTTCAAATCCTCTGAAAAATTTGCTTTGTTAGGGAGTATAACATGGCAGGACCTTTATCTGGTAGGTTGATTGGGTTTTGCTTCCATTGTATTTTGAGAGGGCAGATAAGGATCCCAGTGAGCACTTAACTCTAGTACCAAGAGCAGAAGAATTTAACGAAGTATTTGAGGCAATGGCAGAATGATTTGGTTTGAATGTCTGTCATGGAAAAAAAAAAAAAAAGTGTCCACAATGTATCAATCACAAGAACAAACATCAGAAGGGACAGCCCTGAAGGGCTTTGCCTAACCCAAAACAGTTATCTCAGTGTGAGCCTGAAAAGGGCATCTTTGAATGAAGACAGATGTTTCTTTTCCCAGTTGATCCCCTAATCTTTATTTTTGCTGTCTATCTGTAGGTAAATGCTGTTGCTCCAGAACATGTGTCGCTGTATTGGTTGCTGTGATAACCCTGCTACTGGTCTTAGCGGTGTGTTTGATACTCAGGTGTAAGTCCTACTAAAAAAGTAGTAACTGCCGTTAATTTGTCACTTTCGTCCACTGACTGACATCTAAGTCATGACATCCAAACCCAGTAGAAACAGAAGGCTAGTTTGAAGGCACAAGGTAGTAATTTTCAGCCAACTGTGGCCATGAGAAGAAATCCGTAAAAGAGTTGAGTGGTTTGAAAGTTTAAAACTCCAAAAGAAAAAAAAAAAAGCCAAAACCCAATTACAAACCCTGACAATGTTTAAACAATAAATAATTTATTACATAATTTTTTGAAGAAACAAGTAAAGATCAGGTAAGGTCTATTAATAATGTGATTGCTATCCATGAGAATATTTCAAGGAGATGATCTTGTATCACGTCACCAAGATGTCCATAATGCCAAAAATCTTAAAACAAATGTGAATAAAAGCTCATTTGAAAGAGGTAGCTAGGTCACAACATAAAGGAATTTGTTTGCACTTTATTTGAATAAAAGCCTGGTTCTAGGTCTCTCTGCAGAGATATCACTGAGTTAATAACAATCTTTGAACTACATAAAAAGATACATTATTTGTTTTAGAAACAAAGCATTCTTATTTCCATTAGAAAGAAAAAAACCCCCAAATTTCAATAGAGCCATGTGGTACTTTCTTTTGAATATTGACAAGGAATCATTTAAAATTTCAGATGTGGTTGCTTGTTTCTTTTCATCCTTTGATAGCTGAGGAGGCTTAAGAGGTTTCAACAATCAACCACACTCAAGTCCCAGAATTTGCCACCTACTCAGAGATGCATGTGGAGACATTCTTTGTGAAGACATACTAAAACCATTGATCCATGGAACTTAAAAAATGGGGTTGGGGGATGTAGTTGTTTTTTACTTTTCAAGGTAAAGGACAGATGTCTGATAGTGCTCTGGCCTTTATAAAATGTAAAATACTACAGGAAGGGCAAAATTTGAATACAGAACAAAACAAAAACCCCATGACATAAGAAGGTGAAACTGCCAGCATTTAATAGACCTTTAAATCAGGATTTGAATGAGGGGTCATTAGACTTTGATTCAGGTCTGGCTTCAGTTATAAGTACTTTGTAGGGTTCAGTACTGCCTCAGTGAACTGAAAAAATACTCCTAAGAAACTTGAGATCTAGATCAAACTTGAGAAACTAAATCAAATTAGTTTTTAATTTCAACAGCATACAGTTTTCACTTGTTCTCCAAATGCAAACTGTTGCCATTTTGACTGTTTTGTTTCTAAGTTTTAATTTTATATGAGTTTTTCATACAGTTTTGTTTTTCCAAATATACTGTTGTTGACAAACAGTTTATTTAAGTGAACTAAACTGTCGCCTCTTAATGTGGCTCCATCATATAAAAGCTCTGCAGGCCAGAAGGCATTTTCCACTGACCAGAAATGTTTATGATTTTTATGGTAGTATTATATTATTTTCATTTTTTCTGAGAGAAAATTTGTCTCCTAGTAAGTAAAAAACTGGCCCTGCAGTTCATGAGCTGGTCTTCCAAGAAGAGGCAGGTCTGGCTTTGTTTCAAATGATCTGTCATATGAGTTAAATTTTACTCTTTTCTAAAACCAGAAGCTGATATCCAGCCTCAAGACATATGCATGCTTATATGCATGAAAAACATACAATTTCCAACTTACTTTTCTGTTTTGTTTTCCCCTGTTGCTCTAGTTATTCAGTAAAAGGCAAAGAAAGCCTTGATGTTCTCATTTAGTGGACAGCGGAAAGGCTGTGAATGTAGGGTACCTGGACTTTAGTAAAGCCTTTAACACCCTTTCCCACATCATTCTGCTTGAGCAACTGGCTGCCCATAGCCTGGACAGGCATACTCTTTGCTGGGTAAAAAACTGGCTGGATGACCAAGCCTAGAGAGTTGTGGTGAATGGAGTTAAATCCAGTTGGAGGCTGGTCACAAGTGGTGTTCCCCGGGGCTCAGTTCTGGGGCCAGTTCTGTTTAATGTCTTTATTAATGATCTGGACTAAGGGATTGAGTGCAGGCTCAGTGGGTTTGCAGGTGACACTAAGATGGGTAGGAGTGTCGATCTGCTTGAGGGTAGGAAGGCTCTACAGAGGGACCTGGACAGGCTGGATTGATGGGCTGAGGCCAATTGTATGAGGTTCAACGAGGCTAAATTCTGGGTCCTGCACTTTGGTCACAACAACCTTAGAAAATCCTAAGTCCTTTCAGATGCTGGGAACCCTGAGCAAAATTACCGAACAGAGGAATTTGGTTCAGGGGCTCTGTTTTCTGGGAAAACAAGTATAATAACTTCCTAAAAGAATACTCTTATTTCATACTAATTTCCTTTCATTACTCACTTGGTGGCTTTAGGCTTACAGAAGGGGCTGATTAGTCTTTTATACTAAAACTGAGATTCATTTATGTCACTGCTCAGTTTGGAGTCTCTGGTCATCCTTGAAATACTTCTGGACAGATATGTGGGGAGAAGTGATATGTTGTGTAAGACAAGCATATATTTGTTAATTATTTCAATGTTGAGTATTCTATTGAATCATTTAATGTAGTAGTTGAGGGGATATTTCAGCCATTAGGGGTATTTGTAGTTGACTGCCAAAAAAAAAATCTATATTCTATTTATGATTGTCATAGGGCTAACAGTTGCTTCATTTTGGCTCTGAAGAACTCTCTGAGGTGGAGTTGGTAGAAAAAATCCCCACATGTTAAAGGCTGGTCAGGTCATTTCTCACAACAGGCAAGTGCGTCTAGTGAAAGGTATTCCCTTTCCTGAAAACCTTTGCCTTACCAGTATTCTTTGCTTCTTGAGGAAATATTAAACTTCTGCAGCATTCTCTGAAATCTTACCGGAATAAGATATTCAATCAGGGCACAAGTCCTCCTCAGGACTTTTATTAATAAAAATTTGGCTACAGTAAATGTATTGGAAGAAGAGATGCTGCATTTATGATAAAATAACCTATTTTTGCCAGAGGTGGGTACAAGGCAAAAATGGATTCTTTGTAACAGAGGCTCATCTCTGAAACCCAATATTTACTTCTTGTCAGCATAGTTATGACTACATTCTGGTGGGCTGAACCCCTTCCAAGTTACCATTCCTACTACACTATAGGGTCTTGCATCTGTAAGGATGCAGAGGTACTAGGGAAGTGGTTTTACCCCAAGGAAAGTAAGAGCTCAGAATTGCCACCTTCCTTGTTGATAGTTGCAGTTTGGATGCCTTGGACTAGTAATCCATCCTTTCACTACCGATTTTCAATGCCCAGAAGAGATTAGGTGTCACCTAATCTAACTGCCACTCCACTTCTTTTCCCTCATCTTATTTTTGAGCTTACTGCTTGTAAACAAAGTTCTTCCTTTAATACTCCGTTTCTCTTATCATTTGTCTCTGGTATGAAGTCTGCACAGATGTCAGTTCTTTCATGCTCCAAGATGATCTGGTACAAGTTTCTTAGAACTTTCTTTAACTCAATCCCTCTTCAAATTTTATATATTCTTTTTTAAAAGAAATATATCAATTAGGGTTTCAAGTATAGTAATTCTACCCCTACAATTTTTAGTTTAAGTTTCTTTACTGTTATTATTCATATAATACTCCAATAACTTCAAAAATGCCTCCTTAAACTTTGTTATGGACAATTTAGTAACCCCCAGTCAGTTGAACTAATAATACCCATTCAGGTCATGGGCAATTTTGTCTTTAAATCTGAGGCTTCCTGAATAGAGAAGCTGGGAGAATATCAAGATTTTGCTGGCCCAGCCAGCATGGGTTCATGAAAGGCAGGTCTTGCCTAACCAACCTGATTTCCTTCTATGACCAGGTGACCCGCATGGTAGATGAGGGAAAAGCTGTGGATGTTGTCTACCTGGACTTCAGCAAAGCCTTTGACACAGTCTACCATAGCATTCTCCTGGAGAAGCTGGCAGTTCATGGCCTAGATGGGTGTACTCTTCACTGGGTTAAAAACTGGCTGGATGGCCAAGCCCAGAGAGTTGTGGTGAATGGAGCTAAATCCAGTTGGCGGCCGGTCACAAGCAGTGTCCCCCAGGGCTCACTTCTAGGGTCAGTCTTGTTTAATATCTTTATCAATGACCTGGATGAGAGGATTGAGTGTGCCCTCAGTAAATTTGCAGACGACACCAAACTGGATGATAGTGTTGATCTGCTCGAGGGGAGGAGGGCTCTGCAGAGGGACCTAGACAGGCTGGATTGATGGGCCGAGGCCAACTGCATGAGGTTCAACAAGGCCAAGTGCCAGGTCCTGCACTTTGGTCACAACAACCCCATGCAGCGCTATAGGCTTGGGGCAGAGTGGCTGGAAAGCTGCCTGGTGGAAAAAAACCTGGGGGTACTGGTTGACAGCCGGCTGAACATGAGCCAGCAGTGTGCCCAGGTGGCCAAGAAGGCCAATGGCATCCTGGCTTGTATCAGCAGGAGCAGGGAAGTGATCGTCCCCCTGTACTCGGTGCTGGTGAGGCTGGCCCTTGGATAATGT